CACCTCCAGCACTAGCAGCGCCTCCAGCACCAGTAGCGTCTCCAGCAGCTCCAGCTCCAGCAGCACCTCCAGTAGCACCACCAGCAGCTCCTGCGCCAGCAGCACCAGCACCAGCACCAGCACCAGCTCCAGCTCCAGCACCAACAGCACCTCCAGTAGCACCACCAGCACCTCTAGCAGCTCCAGCACCAGCAGGACCAGCTCCAGGGTCCGCAGCACCAGCAGCGGCTCCAGCTCCAGGGTCCTCAGCACCAGCAGCAGCTCCAACTCCAGGGTCCGCGGCACCAGCAGCACCAGCACCAGCACGAGCTCCAGCTCCAGGGTCCGCGACACCAGTGGTGCCACTCCGGAGACTGCAGCACCGAGCGTACCACTCTCGGAGCCGCTGAGGAGAGGGCGGCTCCCGCCTAGGAGGGGAACCACGAGCACCAGCTCCAGCAGCACCCCTAGCTCCAGAAGCGCCCCTCCTGAGGCTGCAGTACTGCGAGTACCACTCCCACAGCTGCTGTGAGGAGGGAGCGCCTCCAGGCTCAGCACGGTCAGTCGCAGCACCCTCTGGCTCAGTACCCTCAGACGTAGCACTCTCAGGCTCAGCACCCCCAGACTCAGCACCCCCAGACTCCGTACCCGCAGGCTCCGTACCCCCAGGCTCAGCACCCCCAGGCTCCGCACCCCCAAGCTCCGCACCCCCAGACTCAGCACCCTCAGACTCCGCACCCCCAGACTCCGCACGCTCAGGCTCAGCACCCCTAGCACGACGAGAGTCGACAACTACCTCGACAGGCTCAACCGGGTCTACCTGGGACACACCTGAGGGAGCGGCACCCTGAGGGGGGAGGGGGTCTACCACAGCAGCACCTGGTGCGAGGAAGAGAGGCGGGGGGGGGAGCGGGGCAGTGCGGTAGGGGAAGAGGCGGTAGTAGGGGACCGACTCGTCAAAAGTGACGTCCTGAGAGGGCAGGACACGGCGCGAGGTGGCGTGGTAAAACTGCCAACCAGACGCGTCCGGGACAAAGCCAAGGAAGACACAAGGAACAGCGCGGGAGGAGAGCTTGTCCGCGGACGTATCGAGAACAAAAGCTCGAGATCCCCAGACCCGGAAACGCGACGCATCGCCAACCTCTCCCGTCCAACGCAGTGTCGGCGAAGTCTCCGGAACGGAGACACGGGGCCAGAGGTTGAGCTGATGCGCAGCGTAGCGGACCGCAAACGGCCACAGAAAGTGGGGGGCAGCCGCATGGATCAAGGAGGTACGAGCGACCTCCATGACCAAGCCAATGCGGCGCTCAACAACCCCATTCTGCTGTGGAGAGGCCGGAAGCGTGAACGACTGCTCAATGCCCTCCCCTTGACAGAAGGCCCTCAAGAGGTCGGAGGAAAACTCCCCACCTCTGTCAGAGTGCAGACGCAGGACAGGAAAGTCCGAGTGGAACCTCTCGCTGAGCTGGAGACGGGCAGCGCGGATCCAAGGGATCAAAACATCAGGGACTTCACCCTTGGTGCGCAAGGGGAAGACCGTGGTGTAGCGCGAGTAGTCGTCAACGACTATCAAGAAGTACCTCTCATGACCATGTCCACGGACGCGGGCTGGGCCCCACACGTCCATGTGGAGCGTCTGCAGGGGAGCAGTCGTCGGGGGAAACAAGGAGGAGTGAGGAGCGGCGCGCTGCCGCCCCTCGACACAGGGAAGACAGGGAGGAGCAGGCGAGGGTGGGAGGGGAGGGAGAACCCTGGGAAGACTAGAGACAAGGTACCGTTTGTGCATGCCACGAAGACGCTGCACTGACGGGTGACCAAGGCGGTGGTGCCAGAGGACGGTCTCGTGTGCCAGGGAGCGACACTTCACTCATTCTAACATGGTATCAGAGCAATGTACTCTCTAGAGGCTAACCCACTGTAGCCTACAAAGCTATCACACATATAATGTTTGACATTAATCTCTTTGCGCACCGCTTTGGAACTCTTATTGTTGGTACGGCGAACTGTCCGTGGAGTCTCAACAGCGTCACCAGCACGGTTGTCAGAAGGAATCGGCACGTCACGCGATATGGTCGATCCACCCGCAGACTGTTTCATGTCGCCGAATATGGCCGTAACCGTTGAGGCCATCCCATCGCATATGTCGTGAGTCCTCCCAACAACGTGCTTCACATTCGCCATGTCTGCTTCAACAGCTCCGAGGCGGGCACCTAGCTTCCGCAGTTCCGCGGCCATGTCTGTCACCACCGGTCCTCCGTCCCCTCTTGGTTGCACATCAGGGCCGTTTTCATGGTGTTGTGTCGGCTGCTGCTCGTTTACCATAGACGCCGTCGATGTGACCGCACCATGTCTAGGTTTCGCCGCACGGAGACGACTGCTTCTACGGGTTTCGTTCCTCGGCATACTGTGGAGTCTGCTAGCGCATTAACAACGAGTGGTGGCTGAATGCCTGAACGGAATTATGCTCTGTAGATATACTGAGCTTTGGGAGGTCGAGGTTTTCACGGGCGAGCAGAACTTCTAACTCTGATAGACAAGCAGGAAACGAGCATAACTGGAACACCTGGCCAATGTTGGACACTCTGATGACGGGATGTTCACGGGGGGTTTGTGACAGGACTGGGAAATCTCGCCGAATGCTCTCGAACCATCAATTCTTGGACTACGAGGCCAAGCGTCATGCTCGGATTGGTTCGCTGTCCAGGTGATCAATCGTGACAAATGCGTGAAGAGCTGTCAAAATCTGACAACCAGATTGACGGATTCATGCACACTTCGATTCACTGTGACATACGCGACAATTCTTGCTCCGTGTCTGAACACTCCGAATATCGCAATCAAACATTTTAAATAGTGAAACGACAAATCGTAAGCAGAAACTTAAACGTCCGTTGCTCCCATTGCTCTAGATTGTTTGGCAAAGTAACCATTCAATCTTAACTACACGGAAAAGTTTGCAATTTTTCTAATTGAAAAGGCTAGCCTACTTGTTTGTATCATTTGGCATCTTTACAAAAAACATGTAACGAGACAACAGAAATAGTTCTTGACATGTCAAGAGTGCACCGAAATGGTTCATCAATTACTACCGTCAACTCCACTGTACTATAATGTTCTATTCTGGATTTCCATGTTTCTAGTAGTTACTAGTACGAATGTTATTGAGATCATGGGCCCTATACTACCTGTTGGAGTATGAAGGGAATTACACTTAGCATTCCCGTAGGCGCAGCAGTATCGCACCAGTCCTCATCGAAGCAGCAACAACCGTAGTATCGGATCAGCCCGTATCAAGGGCAGGAAGGTTACATGCAGCGACTAGGTAACAAGAAAGAAGTGCAACAGTCAGGGTCACTGTAGAGATGCCTGTAAAGGAGTTAGAATAAGGGAATGTACCCCTCATAGTACATGGCTAGCTAGAACTATTTATTATGTGTGTAATCTTTGTTTTAATCAACTTTGTCATCTACATTTACTATGATCTGAGTTCCTACAACAAAGACTTCCGCTACCAAACTCTTCTAAGGCATTTCTATCCTATCCAAGGTCCTCACTCTAACACTACCAACCAACTGTCTACTGACCTTCCATAGGTGATCCTAGTGTCGATCAACTTCCGATTGTAGCGAAGTATTCACGATACTGCAGATAGGGGTCGTAAACGATGCACTAACGATATCAGTGAACTTTGTATATCTTTTGTGCAGATCTGTTACAAAACGTTTTATAGGCACAGCATATGATATTGTGTTTTTTCACGCTTAAACGACTTTCGTGGGACATGGAATGCCATCAAACCCTATATCTTAATTGATGGTTCTACTCGCAAAGCTGGCTTCAGCCTAATTTGGATTACAACAACACTTTTGTCGCTTAGAGACATATCAGATTTTTTATTTTTTTTTCCTGCCTGTATATCCAATGCAAATTTTATGTGTGGTCGAGTATGTTTGACACAGGTTATATTTACTCAATATTCAAATGTTGTGTTATCATGTGCAACACACACTATTTATACACGATCCTTAACGCCGAAACGAGCATCTGACGAGGCTGCGACGGAGTATTCACGATAGTTTGAGAATATGTACGCGGACTGCTCACTGTTGACTTGCGGGGTTGCTCAAGGGGATTTGGCCGTCCACCATCCGCCACGTGCGTTATACGTGTCCGCGCTGGAATGCTCACCGGTGTCTCACGAGGTCTTCGCGGATTGCACACTGTTGTCGTGCGGATGTTCGGTGGGTGTGATGTGAGTAACATATCATTGGTCAATTTTAATTTTACACGCTCCCAAAAGCCGAAACGAGCGTCTGACGAGGCAGCGACGGAGTAATCACGACCGTTTGAGAAGATGTTCGCGGACTGCACACTGTTGACTTGCGGGGTTGCTCACGGGAATTAGGCCGTGCACCATCAGCGTCATGCGTTGTACGTGTCCGCGCCGGAATACTCACGAGTGTGTCACGAGGTCATCGCGGATTGCACACTGTTATCCTGCGGATTTTCGGTTGCCGTTTTGTGACGTAACATATCTTTGGTACATATCATTCCCCCCGCGCTCTTGACGAGGGATTCACGATGACTCTGCACCTTCACAAGCATCGTACGTGGGCGCAACTGACAAATCGCGGTTGTTTCACGAGGTGAGCGTGTGTTGTGAAATGTTGTTTTGTGAGTATCGCGTGACGGGATCCCCGTCAACCCATCATGATGGTTTCCCGATGACTGCATTTGACGTTTACTCATAGACAGTCGGATGTACACGGCACATTGACCGTTGATAGACCCTTTGTAAACGAGCCAATAGTGTGTATTTTTTTGGAGCCAACTACAATCCATATTTTGATGTATAGTCGTGGGAAGGCATGATGCCAAACGCCCAAGTAGCAGCAAACGAATGCACATACAAGTCGTCATATACACAAAGAGATGCTCATTGCTAAGGCATACCTATAAGTAGCATGTTTAGAGGTTGGATGTACACCAAAGCACCATCCATAATGCAGATGACCGCTAGCCTACTCATCCTTAGATCCCACAGCCTCATGGTTATCTCCCGTCACCCCTCCTGACGGGCCTTCACCGTCCGTTCTGGCCTTTTTGTCGGGCCGACCGTCAGGCTGCCCCAAGCTCCTATCTAATGCCGCTCGCTTCAACGCCGCCCTTCGCTCTTTCTCGTCATACTTAGCCTTAGCAGCAGGCCAATACTCCGCCCACTGCTCCCACTTGTGCCAGAACTTCATCCGGACCATCAGATCACACTGTTGAGCCGTACACCCTTGTAACTTTGCGGTGTCGACGTCCGTCAAGGGGATGAGATCGCCTCTCGTGGGATTGTCGACGAACATCACATGAGACGCTGCGGCTATTGACCTAGCCGCGGCGACCTCAGTTTGAAAGTGACTGCTGATGACAATAAGAGAATTGGAAGAGCGGTCGAGGACAATCCTAGCCACCCACTCGTTCTTACCCTTCTTCTTGGTGACCCCCGTGTAATTTATGCTGGCGGCCTCCTCCTCCTCCCCAACCTGGGTCGATGGCACGGCGCACGAGGAGGCAGCAGGGGAGGGCAGAACCTGTTGCGGTGGCTGCGCGAAGCCGGAGAGCATGTTCAATAGAGTCCCACGAGGTGCTGAGGAGGAGTGGCCAGGTAGGTTGCTGCCATTGTCGAGCGCCTCTGCAGCGACGAGGAAAGCAACTGGATCCTGCACACCGGGGCCGTGCGACGACATCGGCAGATGCACGGCAGAGGTTGGATGTCCAGATCCGTGGAAGAGCAAGTTGGGACGATGCAGAGCATGGCCTATAGGCCCTGGTGGCGCGCCATGTGCATATGCTCCCGGCTGAACACCACCTCCGTGTGGAGCAAACCCCCCCGCTCCTGGTGCCCGAAATCCCTGGAGATGCATCCCGGGTGGAAAACCCGGGGGCACAAACAGCTGTTCTCCTGATGTCCATGCAGCTGCTTGCGACCCTGTTGCATCATGGACCTGCACACACTGCGGAAAGTTGGTGAGATCCGACCCCGGTCCCAATATATCCCAGCAGTCGTCTCCAGGCCGTACAACGCCCGCGTTGATAGCAACCCCCGTGGCGGGTCCGTGCTGATGCGCTGCCGCCTTTGGAGCACCCGCTGTCGCACATGGCTGCACCGCAGCTGCTGTACGTGCAACGCCTGCAGAACCTGGCTGACACACTGCTGCTGTAGGTACACCTGCTGCGGCCTTTGGCTGACCCGCTGCTGCTGTTGCTGGAATAACGGCTGCTGCAAGTGGGTGACCCGCTGCTGTTGTTGAAACACCGAACCCTGCACCTGGCTGACCCGCTGCTGCTGTTGGAATAACGGCCGCTACACCTGGCAGACCCGCTGCAGCTGTTGAAACGCAGGCTGCTGCACCAGGCAGACCCGCTCCTGCTGGACCCGCACCGGCAGAGGAACCTTGCTGAACCAATCCAGCAGGTGGAGCAACGGCAGAGGCACCAGGCTGACCCGCTCCTGCAGGAGGAGCACGGACAGAGGCACCTGGCTGACCCGCTGCTGCTGTAGAAACATATGCTGCAGCACCCGCCTGATCTGCCGCGGAGGATGAAGCGCCGGCTGCGGGACCTGTGTCACCCGCCCCAAACCTTTTCTTCTCGGATGTGGCTCCCTGGGCTTGCACGAATCCTGGAAGCTCGCCGAAAAGTGGTCTACGCGCAAGTGACAGACCACTAGCAGAGGTGTGAAGAGCACCTTTTGTTGTGCCAGGAGCTACTACAGATGCTCCGACCGTACCCGCCGGCGGTGGGGCTGCAGCGGTGGAGTCGCCGGCTTCAGGCCTGATCAAACCCTCTAGTGCAGCCATAGGCAGTTTGAACCCTGCATGTGCAGCCAGCTGATGAAAGGCGGTAAACAGTGATGACACAGTCATTATCAGCTTGATGATTCCCTCTCCACCCTTGTAAGCTGAGTCTTTCAGATTATCCACGTCTTCCATTAGGCTGTTGATCTGGGCGGCATGGATAGCCTGCTCCGCTGATATATCTTTAACCTTGGTGTCGAGATCGACCTCAACTACGTCGTCGCTCTCACCCTCGTCCTCCTGCTGCTGCTCACTCTGTGGTGGAATTTTGGCCCCCTTCACTTTCAGCGATTCCAGCAGAGTACCTTCGCCGGCCTCGCACATGAGACCACGGATTTCGCGCCTGTAGTGCGCGCCCCCGTAACGGAGTTTTGGAATCCCTTCTGTCAGAACATTATAGCTTATGCTGTTGTGTAGGCTATAGTGGGGTATTCCATAGGGGGTACAACCAATTAGGGTTTCATATTTGTACTCACTTCATTTCATAGTTCATTCATTCTTGTTCAAATCTTCTCATGGTATCGAGCAGGTTCCCCCTTGGGAACTGTGCTTAGGGCCCACCACATCGATTTTTTTTTCCTGCCCGAAGCGCACTCAGCCCGAGTTGCGCTCCGGGCCCTCACTTCGTCGAGCCGCCCTAGCGGCCCTGCACTGCGGCCCCGCCACCCGTCTCCGCGGCCCCGCCGCCCGTCTTCGCGGCCCCGCCGCCTCTCTCCTAGCGGCCCCGCCGCCCTACCTAGCGGCCCCGCCGCCTCTCTCCTAGCGGCCCCGCCGCCCTACCTCGCGGCCTCGCCGCCCCATTGAGCGGCCCCGCCGCCCCATCGCGGCCCCGCCGCCCCATCGCGCGGCCCCGCCGCCCTACCTAGCGGCCCCGCCGCCCTACCTAGCGGCCCCGCCGCCCCATCGCGCGGCCCCGCCGCCCCATCGCGCGGCCCCGCCGCCCCATCGCGCGGCCCCGCCGCCCTTCCTCGCGGCCCCGCCGCCCCATCGCGCGGCCCCGCCGCCCTACCTAGCGGCCTCGCCGCCCTTCCTCGCGGCCCCGCCACCTTACCTGCGGCCCCGCCACCTTACCTGCGGCCCCGCTACCTTACCTACGGCCCCGCCGCCCTCTGCTGCGGCCCCGCCACCCTATCTGCGACCCCGCCACCCTACCCGCGGCCACGCCGCCCTTACCAGCGGCCCCGCCGCCCTTACCTGCGGCCCCGTCACCTGCTGCCCAGCCGTGCCGCCCTGCAGCAGCACAGCCGAGCCGCCCAGCAGCCGAGCCGCCGAGCCGCCCAGCAACCGAGCCGCCCAGCAGCCGAGCCGCCCAGCAGCCGAGCTGCCCAGCAGCCGAGCCGCCCAGCAGCCGAGCCGCCCAGCGGCCGCGCCGCCCAGCAGCCGAGCCGCCCAGCAGCCGAGCCGCCCAGCAGCGGAGCCGCCGAGCCGCCGGGCCGCCCAGCAGCTGAGCCGCCGAGCCGCCGCGCCGCCCTCCTTCAGGGCCGCCCGACCTGCCCAGTCTGGTGAGCACAGCGCCTTTTCACTGCACTGTCCTCACCCTACTGTTTGCGCTGCTAGTCGTCTAGGGTCATGGCTACCCCTAGTGTTGAATGTGTGAAGAAATGGTGCTAAATTAACAACCAGACGATGAAACAGTGACATGTTGTGTACTGGCCTATCCTTGCACAGGTTCAGGCCATCAAACGCACAAACAAGCGTCACGTGCTGCGTAGTTGTGCGAATGAGGTCAAACCAGTTCCTATGGCAAGGTAATTCATTGAACTACCTGAATGGGTGAATAAATGGTGCTAAAAGAAACAACCAGACGATGAAACAGTGACATGTTGCGTACTGGCCTATCCTTGCACAGGTTCAGGCCATCAAACGCACAAACAAGCGTCACGTGCTGCGTAGTTGTGCGAATGAGGTCAAACCAGTTCCTATGGAAATGTAATGCATTGAACTACCTGAATGTGTGAAGAAATGGTGCTAAACATAACAACCAGACAATGAAACAGTGACATGTTGCGGGCAGGCGGATCACTGATGATTGATAACGAAGCCACTGTGGAAATGCATGCGACGATGCTGTAGTTCTGGCCTGGCATGTGGTTGTGTATAGCAAATACTTAGCCAGACATATTCTATTAACCTCTAATCTGTTAGGAAACCAAGACAAGGTACTTGGTGCTTCCCATAAGAAGATTAGTGCCTTTGGAGCACCTATGGTTGGGAACAAGCCGATTGTGTGTATTCAGAAGCAACATACATACATTTATTGATATGAAATCTTTATATTGTAGGGTGGTTGTTGAGAGTTTGAATAAAATAGCAAGCATTGCTTCACATTCAACTATAGATGTAAAATTGTGACATCTTATAGTGGATTCAAATAATATCGCGGGAAGAAAGGTCCCAAACGAGATACACCACATAAACAAAGAGACGACGTGGCAAACTATAAGTCGGCGTTGCACCATCGAATGTGAACTATTCAGTGATGTCTGGCGTAATCCGCCGATTTCCCCAGCTATCTTCCCAGATCGAACTCCCCGTCAGGCATCGTCAGGTTTGCCTCAGCGAACTCCAGTGTTCCACCATTTTTGCACCTGTAACCAGCGAATTCGCCCGCGATCTGCCGAAAGGCGAGGTCGGACAAAACCACAGAAATCGGCCACATGTGACCACATCCGCCAGGTTACCCCCGTTTCCGAACCGACCGCCCTTTCCACTCCGAAAACGCCCAAGTACGGGGCCCTCTCCAACCCCAAAATTAGGCTAAGTAAACGCTGCTCGGTTTTCGGCGGACTCACACTTTTCTGATGGAAGCGCGAGCTTAAAAAGGGTTGCAGGCTAGCACAGCTGCACAGCTCTAGCAATAACAAATAGGGCACTTTTCAATCATAGCGCGAAACAACTGCATGTAATGGCGCAGATTAGAATGAGGAGAGCAGAAAGACAGGGATGTGTGATGGTGGGACTTGCAGCGACGCGAGGCCACATATACAGTGCTTTTATGGCAATGTATTACTACATGAATACCCGGATTGGCGTCACATTGCCCTAATAAGAGCACGGATGGGTGGCGCTCATGTATGGCTAAAGACTTTCTTTTCTTGATCTTACCATAAGCTCCGGGAACGTGGAATGACATCGCACGAAGAACTGTGGCTTCCAGCAATTAGCTGGAAGCCTTCCCGGTGACTCCCGATTTCGGGAGTCCTGTCAGTCTGATCTCAATGCGGGGGGGTAATTGTGGGGCAACAGAACCACCCTGCAGTCAACCTGTGCACTGCCGAAACCAACCTGCGAGGCGACTGCATTGTGTAAGTTGCGCATCGCATGTCAGTTGGGGCGAGCAATTCGAAGTTGTTACCTCCGTAGTCAAAATGAAGGCCCTCGCACATGCGAGACTTGAAAAGTTGGGTGTAACCAGAGCCGTAACAATGTTTAGGTTGTTGGTTACGACGCTATAACAAAATGTATATTTCAAAAGCCGCAGCGTATTTGTTATTGGATATTTGTTCCTAAATGGAAAGGAGACAAAGCGAGCTACCTTTAATTGTGATAGTTACACTGTTCAAAATCTGAACTATATCAACTATGAAACTAATAGGAACAACACGAATCATTTAAAATTTAATAACCGTGATGAGATAATATTTAATTTGCAAAACTATTGATGAAACAAGGCTAGCAAATAATATCGATAAGAAATTCGAAAACAGAATGTCATAATAACTTAACTACATCTACATCTCTACAACTAAATCAAGCTCCTAAAGATCCTCTACAACCTGCCAATCCTTCACAATGACATCTCCAAAATAGTAAAACCCACTTACTAATGGGATGCTTGCACGACGGACCCAGCTCTCAACCTGGGCCTTCCTCCTGGTCATCTCACGGGTGTTGTTCTCGGAATCAGAAAACATGCTGCTTCGATCACGAGAAAGCATCTCAAACTCCACCTGCCAAGCACAAGTGCAATAAAATTAGACGTCAGATAACAAGCAAAACAACATAATAAAGAAGCAAAGAAGCTCAAACTTATCGCAACCATTGTGTAGCAAAGCTGATCAATGCTCAGAGAGAAGACACCCCCCTCTTTCTTCTGCCACTTGCTTGCAGCAGCTAAAAATGCCTCGCTACAGAACGGCTTTTCCTCATCAGCATGCCACGGCAGGCCGTACTCCTCTGTATAAAGAGAAACACAAGTGTGAGAAACAAGTAATAACGAGAGCAATAGCAATAATGAGTGAACACACGTACCAGGGATGCAGGATCGTGCATAATCGCGACGATCTTCGCGGGTTTCCCTGACGGCTTTGCCATCAGGGTACTTCAGAAGACGGAAACTCGCCTTCCGAGACTTGTTCCCGAGTTTCCCCCGACGGCCGTTGCAAATCTCGGTGCACTTCTTCGCCCACTCGCCCTTCTTCCAGTAGTCATTGAATTTCCCAAAGTCTTCGGGCTCCAGAGCAAGGTGCACCACGACGGCCGCCTTGAATTGATCTTCGTTGGGGTAAATGACACGCCCGGAGACGTCTGAGCCCTTGAGCAGATCATCGCAGGCCTTCTTGCAAGCATCCTGCAAAACGAAAGAACACGGTTAGTACATAGTTCAAAAACTAAGTAAAATAACAACCAAACATAACAAGAAAATATTACCTCCATGGTTTTCTCGTTGCACCAACTCGGTTGGTGCACACTCTCAAGAAGATTCTTGACAGTCGTAGCTAGAGTCTGCTGGATCTCATCCGAGGTACGAAGACGGTTTTCAATACGCTGCATCAAAGTTTTAACATCTTTCAGTTCGCCGCGTATTGCTGCGTCGATGTGGTTATACGAGTTGGCCTCAGGGTGGTGAACATCACGCTCTGATGTGCGCACAACTGTGAAACAGAACGGAAAAGGAAACAAAAAGGCAAGTAACAAAAAACAACTATACATATACACTCAGACGGAATAACTTGAGTTGATGTTTAAAGAACTGCACGACATAGCCGCACCCATACCGCCGGTTCCAGCAGAGGCAACGACGTTTACAGCGGCAGCACGTTGCACTAACGGAGTAGTGGCGTTCGAACCATCGTGGTGCGAGGGCTCGCCGTTGTCCGCGGTGTGTTCGGCCGCACCGGCCTCGAGGTCTTGCAGAGAGGGTGGTTCCTGAGGCAGGGCAGTAGCATTACCCACCTGATGGGCAGGGGTAGAAATTCTACGAGCGCCAGTGGTAGGGCTACCCAGCTCATACCCTTCCAGGCGTCTGTTTGAAGTACGTGAACGCTTACGCTGCAACTCCGTAATTTCCGCTGGCACGCCGACCGCCATGGCTGCAAGTACGC